TTTTTTTTTTTTTTTTTTTTTTGGTTTTTCAAGACAGGGTTTCTCTGTGGCTTTGGAGCCTGTCCGGGAACTAGCTCTTGTAGACCAGGCTGGTCTCGAACTCACAGAGATCCGCCTGCCTCTGCCTCCCGAGTGCTGGGATTAAAGGTGTGTGCCACCACCGCTTGGCATGTTCAATGTTTTTAAATCCAGCCCTAGGAAGAACAGGATAATCTCTGGAACTTGCAGGCCAATCAATCTAGCTGAATTGGAAAGTTCCAGGATTAGTAAAAGGTCCCATTTGAAAAAACAACATGGAAAACCACTGAGGAAGACACCTGAGGTGGACCTCTGGCCTCCACATAAACAAGGGAACACACACACACACAGTATTTATACATGCATACACTACATACACACACCAAAAATAAAGTTGAATTTATGTTATTCTCACTTATTTGTAGGTAACTAAGTGGACAGTCCCAGGTTATTTGTGAGGAAGGAACACAGAGGAAAGGGATCATTGGGCTTAAGGTAGATGGAACCATGTCACTAAGTATACTACTATAGAAAATAGGAAAGGTGTAGTGGACTGAAGGAACACACTCAGATCTCAATAGTACAGATTGTAAATGTCAAACCCTGAGTGGCAAAACTGCTCAGCATAAAACAAGAGACTAGATAGGGAGGTATGGCATGGTAACAAGAAGCCCCAACATTTAGGGCATAATTAGAGAAAAAGGCATAATTAGAGAAAAAGAGAAAGGGGGTTCTCTTGAGGATTATTTGTTGAGTTTGTATTTGCATATTTCTAGTACAAATGTGGAAGCCAAAATGTATTGGTAGAGATGAATTGGTTGTAAAGGATATGTACAAGAGGAAATATTTCAAAAGGTCTATACACATAATTTTGACAACTTGCACGACATGGACCGATCTTCTAAAAACCATAAAGTATCCGCAATAAAGAGTTAATTTAAATGTGCCTACAAGGTCACATTTTTTAAAGTTCCATCTTTCAAAACAAACCATCAGCAAGAGTAATCTCTAGGCACTGAAGGATTAAAAAATGCCACTCACAACTTAAAGAAATCCAAAGCTATAAGTCTGTTTCCATAAACCAAAGTGAGGGTTATAATAATACCTGACATGAAGACCAGGCAAAACCTTGACAAGAGAGATAGTTAAAAACGAGCAGACCTGAGGACATTTACAAGAGCTTTCAAAAAAAATATGAGCAAACACAATCTAACGTGTGATACCATTCAAACCAGAAGCCAAAGCCTGGTGCATATAATGTGTTTTAGAGACAGAGGCTTAAGATGAAGAATCCTGTTTTCATGAGCCCTGAAGTAGATTGAGGAAGGAATGTAGTGTGCTAGTTTGGGAAGAGGCTTAAATTACCTGGAAGTGTTGGCATAGCTGTTTTTTTTTCTCTCCTTCCTGCTCCCTTTTTTTTCCTCCCCAGTAGTTTTCAAGTGGGGACCTGGCTGCCCAAAAGAGGTTTCATAGTGTGAGAAAAGTTTCATTTTAAATTTTATGCCTTCCTGCTTCTTTTTTTTAGGAAGGGCAGATATGGACTTTTAGGGTAATCAGTGTATTCTAACATAAGAAAATTATTCCCATTCTATTTGAGGGACCAGTCACTGTAAAAAATCTGACCTTAGGAACTCTAATAATGATCGTGCTTATGATTTTTTACTTCCATAATTTCTCACTTCAACCATGATACTTTTATGATAATTATTTTTCCAGATTTGTAGTTTGTGTTTGGGGGTTAGAAAGACTGACAATGCCTCACTATTTAGCTATGGTTTTTGAATTCATGATCATCCTGACTCCATTATGGAGCCCTGAGATTCAGATGCATGCCATCATACCTGAATCTATGCATGCTTATCCCAGGAGTGTCAACTTTGTATTCCCAAGAAATGTTATCTCTTCTGCCTACATGAATTTCCTAAATGGTACTACATATCATGATAACATAGCAATGCTTATCTAAATAAGCCTTGTCTCATCTTTTGAGACAGCCTCCTGTTGTTCCTTGTTTCACTTCTCCAGTGATTATCTGTTCTTTGACATCCCTACTGAACAATCTTTACTTCTGTCCCAGGAAAGATGGCAAAACTGCAGATCATTGACAATACACATTAAAATAATCATTATGTTATTGCTTTATTTTTTAATTTATACTTTTCCTTGCCATTTATCCTCCCCATACATTTTACATCTTTCTGCATTTTGTCCAAGAAAAATACCCCAACTATAGTTATAAAAAGGAGTGTCAAATTTCTTGCCCTCTCAGAATGCCCCACTCTTCTTCCTCCTTATCACTAGTTCCAGTCCTAACTCTTTGTGCAGGTGACTATGTAGCATATACTCTGGACCCTTGTACTCTATGTGTTTCAGTTGGTGAGTGGTCGATGTAGGCAGAACTAGACAGACCAGTTTGAATAAGTGTGGCTGCCCTCAAAAGCAACAAGCTTGAGTTCCAAGCCACTAGGGAAGATCCAGAGGATGGCAGGTTAGCCGCTGGCCTCTCCTCCTCCCTCCAATCATGGAAAGCAACCTTCTGTGCTTGATTCGTGGTCTTTTCTATCAAAAATGGGTGTAGATACCCAGTTACTCCCAATGTCACTAGTCTCTTTGCAAAACTGAGCTACCTTTCAAAAATGCAAATTTAAAAACTACAGCAGACATTGCTCAATAATATTTGCTTAACGTATTAAAATGAGTTCTCTGTTTCAGTTTCTTGGCCTGAAAAGGCATGTGGGGCCCATTTGGGGGCTTAAAGAGAAAGTTCACTGCCTATGTAGACAGGAAACTGCCAGGAAAAAAATCATGTTTCATCCAAGGGCCCCACACTAAGAACATGTGTAGTATCCTCAGGAGGTTCCAGGGTGAACCCCCCTCCCTCAGCTCTCTATGGAAGCCAGTGCCAGGACCGTCCTCTTCTGAGGAGTCTTCCAAGAACAGCCTATCCTGCAGCTGTATAATCTGTTTCATATTACAATCTGAAGCAACCCACTGGAGAACCTGTCCTTTCCAAAGATCTGAAGATATAATGTCTCCATAGTCTTAATGAATTTCTTCCCGGATCTTTTCTAGGAGCCATTAGTGTAAGTTTCCTGCTTTTACTTCTAAGACTCAGATCCTGTAACCTATTTCCTGTGCCACATTAAGCCACTGTAAAGATGTCCAGCCAGCCTAACTTAGACACTTAGTAAAAAACATCTTAGATATCTTTGGAGCTCCAGCCCAAATATCTCCCTTGGGTTCAAGTATTCATGGACACCACCCAGATATTGGATTTTTCTTCTTCCCTAATGTGACTTCCATTTTCACTATTGTTTGTAATATCTGCCACTCTCTATAGATGTAAGTAATGTATTATGTAGCTGTCAGTTCCCAAGCTTGTATAATAGTTATGTTCTCTGCTTAAAGGTTATCTTATAGGTTCTTCCTCTTTTCTTTTTGGTAGTAGACAGATCCTTCTCAGAAGGTTATACTTGAGTAGATGAAATCACACCTGTAGGGGTGCTTCTGAGCTCTGATGGAAATCATCACCACAGTTCACACTGGGCTCATTTCCAGATCAAAATCAATTCTGTGGCTTGAAACTCCTGAAACCCCATCTCTCATTGTGGTTCTACTCTACTGACTGCGTGGTTCATCACAAAGCAACTTTCTTATCACTAGGAATGTGTCATATAAGCTTGTGTAGAAGTGATGTCTGCTACTATGTTAACAACTTCATCAGACTGAGGTCCAGGTAGAAACTCAAATATACTGCTCAGCACAGTAAGTTACTGAAGCCAAAGTAGTTCTCTGTTCACATAGCTGATATCCTACCTCAACAAGAAACCACTTTAAAAATGTTGTTCCCTCTACTACTGACTGATTTCATGAATCCATTAAGCCCAAGATGGTAAATACAACATGTATATAATCATAGGGATCCATCTCAGAAAACCCTTCAAAATCAGTCTACTTGGGGGAAAACAAAGCTAAGAAATGAGAATAAGTAAACTTGAGTACTCTTGATCCAAAGACATGAAATCACAAATACTACTCCATCTGAAATACTTCTAGGATGCACAGGACATCACAAGTGAAAAATACCACTTAAGATATCATGCATTAGATCTCAACTAACACTATCTCATAATGTAGCCTTCAGACTACATATGTAAGGTGAATAGAAAACAAATTAATCTCACGGTTAGATTTGATTTCATGCACATTATTGTGCATATACAAATAAAGACTAAGGAGCTAAGCCTAGGCTGGCCTCTGGTAAATCCCTGTGATGCTCCTGATTCCACTGTTCAGAACAGGGTTTACAAACATAGACTATGCTACTACCTTTATATGTGAATTGGGGGGATTTGAATTGAGGTTCTCACACTTGAACTACAAATGATCTCACCCATGGATTGAACTCATCCCTGTCCCAATTAAAATTTTAAACCCACATCAATTATGCTGTATAAATCGAATATGTCCAAAACCTTCACATTCCACATGGATTGATCCCCAGTGTCTGGAACCACATTTTACATTCTTCCTTTTTCTTGATATGCACTCAGATCTGGTAAATATTTCTCTGAATTCATTTCTCAACATTGCAATCATAAGTATCACATCATCCTCGCAATACATACACTTTCTCGAAACCTGCTTACTGCCTCTCTCATTCTTTTGTAGAAAACCCAAGTTCAAGACTCAGGCTCCCCCAGTTAGAGTCTGTGAGAAACTCCAGGGCCTTCACCCTTAACTTGGTTTTCCACAAACTCAGTGTGTCCTATCATGACTTCACCATCTCAGCGACATCTTTCTATTTTAACTCCCCATCCTCATCTATCTGTGGCCCCCCCAAACAGGAGACCTGTAAATCTTTTCCCTTACTTTAGAAGCATCCTCCCTCAGACCCCAGTGGTTGGGCTTTGCTTCCTTGCTCCTATCCAGCCCTACCAGCCTTCTGGCTTCCCTACACGCATGCGCAGTGCCGTGTCCGCCCCGCCCGGCCGCTGCTGCGGAAGGCAGAGCGCTCAGTAACGCGCACTTCCTCTGCTAGTGTCCACGGCAGGAGTGCTGGTTCCGAGAGCTCCAAGTCGCAGCCGTCCTCCTCTGATCAGACAGCGCAGAGATGTCGGAACAAAGTAAGGACCTGAGCGACCCTAACTTTGCAGCCGAGGCCGCCGCCAACTCCGAAGTGCACGGCAGCCCTGCGGTTCCGGTGGGGGTCCCTCCTCCCGCGTCTCCGGCTGAGACCCTCGCAGGGCCCCCAAGCGCTCCCGAAGGCCCTGTGGCAGCCCCGCAAGCCTTGCCACCGCAAGAAGAACGGCTCGAAGATGTTGACCCTAAGATCCTGCAGCAGGCCATAGAGGAGGGCCGCGCCCACCAGCCCCAGAGTCCGGCCCGGCAGATGCCACCACCGCCCGCTCCGGCCCAACTGGTGCAGAAGGCGCACGAGCTGATGTGGTACGTGTTGGTCAAGGACCAGAAGCGTATGGTCCTCTGGTTCCCAGATATGGTGAAAGATGTCATGGGCAGCTACAAGAAATGGTGCAGAAGCATCCTCAGACGCACCAGTCTCATCCTTGCCAGAGTGTTTGGGCTGCACCTGAGGCTGACCAATCTCCACACCATGGAGTTTGCCCTGGTCAAAGCACTCAGCCCAGAGGAACTGGACAGAGTGGCGCTGAACAACCGTATGCCCATGACAGGCCTCCTGCTCATGATCCTGAGCCTCATCTACGTGAAGGGCCGCGGGGCCAGAGAGGGCGCGGTCTGGAACGTGCTGCGCATCCTGGGTCTGAGGCCCTGGAAGAAGCACTCCACCTTCGGCGATGTGAGAAAGATTATCACCGAGGAGTTCGTCCAGCAGAACTACCTGAAGTACCAGCGTGTTCCCCACATCGAGCCTCCCGAGTACGAGTTCTTCTGGGGATCCAGAGCCAACCGTGAAATCACGAAGATGCAGATTATGGAGTTCCTGGCCAGGGTCTTCAAGAAAGATCCCCGGGCTTGGCCTTCCCGCTACAGAGAGGCTCTGGAGCAGGCCAGGGCTCTGCGGCTGGCTAGCCTCGCTGCCCACTTCCCCCGCAGAAGTGTCTCTGAGGATTAGGAAGGTCCCCCAGCACTTCGCTAGCTTCTGACCCATACAGGGGTGTCTTAAGGGTGGGACTGGGTCGTTAGAGTATTCCCCCCATTCACAGTGCAGTATTTCATGTGTAACTTTTAAGTTTTGCGTGCAGTGCTTTTGTACCTCTTAATGCAGTGAATTCATTTGTGCACTCTTGAGTAGTGTTTATGATTTATGCATGTGTGTTTAGAAGTAAGCAAGTGGGTGTTTTCACTTTTGCGCTTTCTTCAGTTTTTGCATAAGAGATGTGCTGTGCTAAACTTGTGAAATACATTATGTACCTTGTTCTTTGATTGGGACTGATGATCTGTATCCACATAAAAAAAGGACCTGGAGAGTAAGATGGACTCAGCAGCAACACAGACCTGACCAAGGGAGAAGTCAAGGCCCCTCTCCCCATGCCCTCCACTGACATGGGGAAGCATCCATGTGAAATGGACTGATTTGAACTGGAAAGTTTTCAGTGTAAGCACTTAGCACACTTTACGAAACATCTGTACATCCCCCCCCCCATAAATAAACTTTGAAGTGAGCATTAAAGATTCTCGTGAAATAATTTCTTTGGGGGAGAGGGGGTGGGCATTTGGTTTGTTGAAAGGGGAACGGGAATGGGTGGGAATGGTGGGAATGGGTGGGAATGAGGAAGATACGCCCGTATGCAGCAGGAACAAATGCAGTGTTCCTCTGACGGCGTGGGAAAGCACTCCACACAACCACTCAAGTTTACAGCTTTATTTTTCTTAAAGGAGCTGGTGACACTTCAACGACCTTGACATATAAAGGGTGTAATAATCAAAGAAGAGTCCCCTGTCACATCACATGGGAATAAGAACAGGTATTATGGAGTAAATGCCCCTTTGCTGGTGGTTTTTTTTTTAATAGTTTCTGGTGGGCACTTAACAGAATGAAACAGTGTTACTAAACCCTTCATGCACATTTTATCCTTTATTTCATCCTCCCACCATAGATAAGGGAGCTACTGCATCTGCACAGAAGAAGAAATACGCAAAGAGTGTTGGTAATGAACTCTCCTAAAACTCCGAGGTTATCCTGAGTCCTGTCTCTTACCTCCCTACAGCCACCGCTCACATGAGCACCCTGGCCTCCCTGCTGCTTACACTAAGGATTTGATTTTTTTTAATTAATTCAAAGAGTCCTTTGCAGGAAAATGGGCTGCTAGGTGTATAAATGAAGTAACTTCATTTCAGAAAGAGTGGGCAACCTAATCAAATCCTTATCCTGCTCAGGGGGGAAAATAAGGCCTGAAGCATAATCTTTCTGGGGGGGGATGAAATATGAAGGAAGCTTTTCCGACAGTGGTATCCACAGAAGCCATGACAGGTATGAAACAGAGGAGTAGCTGGGTTCAGGAAGTTCCCTATAGGGACACAACCATATCTGTGGCTCAGCAGCCTGTCCGTTGCAGTGGACGGCCGGTGATGAGAGGGTGAAATGGGATAAGTCACTGTAAACAGCCAACACTGGGGAGAAATCATTTGGAAGCATTGGTCTGGGGAGAAAGAGGGAGAGAAAAGGCTGTAATAAAGTCGGGCATCCTTTAGACACCCAACAGGGAAAAGGCACCTAGTCAGAGTTAGAAGCATTTCTGGAGATGGTGATGAGGAAAGACACCTGCCACAGCATACTTAAAAGCAAACATAGTCATAGTAACATGAAAGAGTTACAATCAGTGTGTTGGAGTGCAGAACTGCCAGCACTTTGTGGCATTATCTAGTCAGGGGTGAAGGGAATGAAAATGCATATAAACCCATGTGTGATAAAACTGAATCTATTCCATTTAGTTGTCCCCTGTGGTCTTTCACAGAACTGAGAGCAGAGGGTGGGGTGACATCGGCAGTAACCCTCATGTGGATGGCCTGGCTTTCAGTGTATTTCTTCACGAAGAGTTATGTTAGTTACCATACATAATTAAAATTTTACGGGTTTTTCTGCCGTAAGAGCATTGATAAAGAGATATACAGATACAAGGTTAATGACAACGTCATCCTAGCCAAACCTTTGCAGAGAAGCAAGGAGCTGATTACAGGCAGGCAGAAGGGCAGGCCTACTCTCCAACTGTGTTGTCTTGGAGACAGCTAGCCATCGAGAAGGAAGCTTTGCAGAAATGGAGTGTTTAATTCACAATACCCGGTTCCGAGCTGCAGCAGCCTCGGAACACAGGGAGGAAACACTTGATGATTTTCTTACGTTTCCATACCGGATTGTAAATTAAAAGATAGGGAAGTTTTCCAATTATTTTGGAAAAGCCTTTAAGATGCAGAGCGAGATCAGTCAGGAAACAGCAGAAGCTCGGTCTCCGAGGCCATCAATGGGATTCTCACCTGCTCTAGCTGGGAGAGATTCCTTGACTCTTTCAATGTCCTTACAGTAGCTTTGATTTTACTTTGGCATTTTACTTTTTTATTTGGCTTTTTTTTTAATTGTTACCTCAAAAAAAGTATTTTATTTTAATGTTTTAATTAAAATAGTTACATCATTCCATCCCTCCTGTTCCTTCCCTTCAGCTCCTCTCATCTATTTCAGGTTATATTTCTTGTTATTTCACATTAATTGATTTTATTTTTAAAGTCATATGAGGTAGAAAGAGCCTGTGGAGTTTTAATATAAATTAAAATGCCTAGTTTAAGGACACTCAGAGGAGATATATGGTTTTCAGCTCTGTCATAATTAAATTTGAAAAGGATATTTTAAATTAACCAGTAAAGTCACGTCTTACCTACATGTCCTGTTTTTTTTTTTTTTTCAGTTCTTTCTTAATATTGCCTGACCAACTCTGAACACCACTTCCTGGGGTTGTTTGCAGCATCGATGTTTAAACACATGATTTTATAAATATTAAGTACATTCTGTCACACTCGAGTGTAAAAAGTCCTATTTCATTGCTTATCATGTAACTGAAGCCCATTTACTATGGGTCTGGCACACGGATATTCTTCATAAATACTTTTCTTTTTCTCAATAAACAGCATTCTTTTCTTTTTTTCCTTTTAGCAAAAATAGACATTTACTTATATAATGTATCCTGATCACAGTTTGCCCCCTGACCCTCCCAGTTCCTCCCCACCCCTCCTCCCACCCTGGTCCACCCCTTTCTCTCTCTCATTAGAAAACAAACAGGCTTATGCGCGTCTACAATAGAACAGAATATGACAAAACAAGGACTAACAAAACCGCACAGGGCTATGCAATTAAAAAAGAAGGAAGCAAGCTCGAGAAAGAGCACACGAAACAGATGAAGGTGCACAGACGCATTCACTCTCACAATCAGGAATCTTATGGAAAAACGCAAAACGGAAAGTCATATTATATATCCGCAAAAGAACTGAACACTCAAAACATTAGACTAGATCAGTACCTTCACACAGGAAAGAAAAAGCAAAAACAGCGAATGTATTCAACTAGCCTGAAACAGAGAGAGAAAAGAAGAAAAGAAATGAATGCAGAAAATATTGCAAGCGGGTTCAAGAGCCGGTTCTTGAAAAAAAAATGTGAATCAGCTTCTAATAGTTCCAGGATTTTTTAAAGGATAAGTAGTATAAATTAACAACTACTTGCTGGGGAATGCTTCAAGAACACAAGTAGCTGGGTCGAGCTGAGGGGAGGAAAATTGGGAAGGGAATGATGGAATTCTTTTTCAGTTAAAACACATTAAAATAATTTTAATTTAAGAATAAAGGGGAAAAAATAGATCAGTGCTGTAAGAATAACATATCAAGTGAGAAAATAAAAAAAATCAAATTAATAGATAAAAGCATGTGTCATACACTAAGCAATTAGATATAATAAAAGTGAATGGATGTGCATTCCCATTACTAGGTAATTAAAAATCAGCACACATATGCCCTTTTATCGTTGGACACATGCTACATGTTATCTCCCCAACTCTTTGTGGTGCATGGTATGCAGCCAGTATTCAGAAGAGGAAACGCTGGGAGTGAAAGACTCAGGAATGAAGAGAACGATCGTTGTCCTGTTGTCAGAAAGCATGCACTAGATTGCAAAATGCAAGTAGCGAGAATCACCTTCGGCGGAAAAATATGCCAGAGTATGAGGACAGAGGCTTGCAGACATATGTACACAATTCACATTTCCCGCAATAAGTGCTGTATAAACTTGCACGGACTGTATGGAGGCTATTAACAGCCTGAAAGCAAGGCTGGGAACGGTGCGTTTGACAGGAGCATCTCGTCGCGTCTAAGCACTGTGCTGAGCACACACACACACGGATTCATGACCCTCTATGTTTTTTGGAAATAGAAGAGAAGGAAAATGGAAAGTTAATCTCATTTCAAGTTGCCTAAAATATCTTTTTATCTCTTAATTTGCTGTATTTTTTTTTCATTTCACTTAGGAAGGATTAAAAGTACTTAAATATATCATGTATTTTCCTGTCTACAAAGTGACTTTTGCCATTTAGTCTCCCAGTAATTTAATATGAGATCTTATGGCCTTTAGGGTTTGTATTCATTTTTTTATTTAATAAAAATATTGAACTTCATTGTGTTGTTAACCTGTTGTAAGAACTTGCAGATATTGGTGACCTTTAAAAAGTGTGTCTTCCAGAAGTGTATAATATACACCATTCATAAAACTTATTTGTCAATAACTGCCTTGATTATTAGATCAACTCTCTAGGTATAGGAATATCTGTTGTCAAAGATATTCTAAATTTATTCAGCGATGCTTCACAAAGAAAAATTTAATGATACCAATGATTATCTTACAATATACCAGAATACTTTTTCTTTATTTTATATTTTGGAAGTTGAGGGATAGAGGATGAAGTGAGAAATGAGCAACAGGTGTTGACTCGGGTTTCAGGCTTGAATACAGGTTAAAGGTCAGTTTTAGTTGATGAGACAGAAAGAGGGGGAGCAATTTAGGGGAAAGCTAGCATTTTCTATATGGAAAATCAATGAAATATACTAAAATATAGAAGACTTACACAATAAGGATACCAGACTCAAGTGAGACCATCATAACCCAGCTGTGGAGTGATGCATTTGTCTAAAGAAGCCGTGGAGAGAAATGTGTCCGTGCTTGTATTCTGAGAACCTGAAGCATTTCCTCGTCGAGTAGTGCAGGAATGTCTGGCAATGTCACTACAAAGAGTGCCTGGATAAGAGTTCAAAAAGAAAACCAGCAGAGTGCAAGGTCATAGAAATCAAAATAGCAACATTTTCAGCCAGAGGAAGTGGCCAAGGGTATCAAATGTTCTTGAAGTATCATAAACAATTTAAAAAGGGATTTTGCATTTAGTAGGATCCTTGCTGCTAGGGAAGAAATAAAGTTCAGAGGCTTAGAAGTGAGGTTATGACATGATTGGTAATAACTCTAATAACTCTGATAAGAAGAGTTGTGGAGTTAACCAGATAATGAATATAAAGATGAAATTAATAAGAAAAATTTGAAAATATAGATCAAGTTGACAAAAAAACCAATTAACTACGTGCTAAAAATAAGATAAATAGGATAAATGAAAGACTGTGAACAGTTTTCTGGCC